TGTAAGTTGACTTTGCCCTCCCTTCCTGAAATTTCCCTTCTTTCACTTAACTCCTAGCTCTGATAGTAAAACTACTTTTCTTTTCATATATGTATATATAATTCTCAAGAAAGAGTCATACTAGTTCAATGTGGAGCCATGCACTTGTGACAGGTTGGTTTACACTAGGATCACCTAATTGGATTGGTGGGAAAAGCAATAAATTCCTCCCAAAACATGGGTTTCCTTCCCAGAAGTGGAAAGAAGGGCTCATTTTGCTATCTGTAAGACATCACCGCCTACCAAGAAATTTCATTTTAATGCCTAAAACAAGAGCTTATCCAAGCAGTCCTGGTAATAAATGACTTTCTGAAGATTCACTTCTAGGTATAAAGTCAATGACCTCTTGCCTGCCACTTGGAGTGCACTTCACTGGAGACAGTATGTCTCTGGTGTAGAGGCTGGCTTCTCTCCCAATCCTTAAAAGCCTATTCATGACTGATCTAAAATACAATATTTCTAATACTGTGATAAAAGTCCTTTCATAACATTGTTCCTAAAGGAAAATGTATTTGAAATTTTACCTAGAACAAGAAGAACAGGCTCAATTCATTTACTGAGTACCTAGTAATGAAAGTAGCTTCTATTTTATACACATTAATTTACAGTTCATTTACATACAGCACTGCAAGGCAGATGTTAAAACCACATGGAACCGGTGATGAAACAGAGAGTCAAAAAAAACTATACATGTCCAAGGTCAATGGCCAAGCCAAGTGAGAGCCAGCTTCAAAACCATAAATGTCTGTTCTTGAACTTTTCGGTGTTCAAACACAAATTTGGAATGAATTGAGTTCAAAAACCAAGGTATCACTGTAGCTGAATCCAGTCACAAAGAAAGAACACATCCGAACTGTACACTGTCTTCACCCAGAAACTATTGGTCAGGCAGGCCTCTATGAAGCCCTTGGCTTTAATCCATGGTTCAGAGCCAGAACTAGTCACTAGGAATAGTAAATTAAGTTGCATCCCCTTGACATACATCGGATCATTAGATAAGTGACCTGAAATTATGAGAAGTAAACTCTAAATTATCCCAATTAAGGTATTACTAAGCCAAGACAAACTGGTTGTCTCATGGCAAAGCCTTAAATATACTAGACACCATAAAAAGAGAAACAAAAGCAGCACCCCAATTAACAACAAAGAACTCTTATTTCATACATTCTGGAAAAAAGAGTAACTTGAGGGGGGGAAATAAATCAAAGAAAACAGTCAATTGATGAAGCCCTTAATTTTCTTATGACTGTATGTTGAGTAATTTATATGACAGGAAACAAAAATTAACATGTCATCTGTGAAACTGAAGGACTTACCATGCATATCAAAGAAAAGGACAGAGAGTAAACTAGTGAACAAGTCAGTACAAATGGTTTGGCTGAAAAATACAAATTGAGAACAGGGAAGCTTTACATGTAGTACAAATTAAATGATACAGTAAACACATGCTAAGGAAGAGAGGGAGACAAGCTTTGCCAACTAACAGAAAGCAGTGACACTGGAAGAATACTGAAAACTGGGAGTGGGTACAGCTAGCTGTATAACTATAGCTCTCAAATTATCTAGTGCCCTCTCCTTGCTGACACCCCCCTGACTTGATCCCCAGCTGATTGGATATACAGCATCTGCACCACACTTTGAGATTCCTGGAGGCTGAGTCCAGGGCTTGGGTTATTCTAAACCTCTAGAAGGCCAAACTTTGAAACAGGATATATTTTATAAATGCTGTCAAAAAAAAGAAAGAAAAAGGGGCCATCTTGGTCAACCCTATATGCCTTTTCTGAATTGGTCACCTCTGATGAAGGCTGATCTCTTTGTTGCAGGAATATCTGCAGTATAACACTATCTCTCAAGGTAAAAAGCAAGCTCTTGGTATTACTGTCTGTGTGTGTGTGTGTGTGTGTGTGTGTGTGTGTGTGTCTATCCTGAAAGGAAGAGGGTGGTGCCTAAGGAGTACATCAGTTTAGGCTAAACTACACTGTCCTCAACTTACAAGTTCCGTTCCAGAGAACATTCGAAGTAGGATTCATTTGTAAGTCTGACAAAGTGAGTCCTATACACCTTTAACACAAGTATACAATGTGAAACATTAAAACAATGAAACACATACACAAAAATATTGTAAATAAACTATTTACTTTTAAGCACAGTAAGCACACAGAAGCACAACTATGATAATGTCCAGCAGACAGGTGAGCTAGTTTGTGATTTGTTCTCATCTACAAATGTTCATAATGCAAGGTTCGTTGGTATTTGTGCAAGTTTGCAACTCAAACGTTCCTAAGTCGGGGACTTACGGTATGCTGCCTAGTTCCTGTTTAATTCCTTGCAGTCTCCATGGCCTCTTCACTCTGGGACCAAGGCAAGAGAAGCACCTCAATCGGGACATGGAAAAGGCAGGACCGGGCCATCCTACCAGAGTTTCTGCTCAGAAATGGCACAAATTATAATCACTCACATTTCACTGGCAAATTAAGTCTATGCCCAAGCTAGACATAATAAGAAGTCAGCCTTCAGCAGGGTGGGAGAAGATAATTCTCTCACTGGATGGAGGGAGGGTAGGAAGAACAGCAAATATTTTGATAATAATATAATATAAGCTACCACAAAGGGAACGGAACATGGTTTGAAGAGAGCTTCTTCTCTCCTGTAATATGGTGTCCTGTTCTAAAAAGCAGTACCTCCATTTTACGGACTTTACGCTGTTCTCTTAATCTTTTAGATACCATCTCATTATATCCTAACAGCTAAGTGAAGTCCCAGGACTTGCCCAAGGCCCCAGGAGTGCCTGGACTAGACCTCCAAAGCACTATTTCTCACTGTCTCTGGCAAGTCAATCCTCAAGGCCTCTGTTTCACCTAAAAAAAAAAAATGGACATAATAGGCTTCCTAGGGTTGCTGAGACATTATAGAAGGAAGTATTATTATTAAATGATGACTCTTGCCCCCACCCACATCTTTCTCATTTTTTTTTTTTTTTTTGTTCTGGAGATTGCACACGGGTCTTTGCTCTTGCATAGCAGGCGGCGAAACCACTGAGCTAAATCCCCAGCCCGTCTTTCTCATATTATCTTTATTTCTTCCCAAAATACGGGAAATCAGGAACAAATGAAGATATTAACAGCTGTGTATTTAAAGTGTAGTATAGGTTCCAAAATGGCTCCCAGTTGAGAACAAATAAAGGGGCTCTGCATCAACTGCCCTCTTATCTTCCATCTCCTGTCCTAAATGGTACTATTCTACTTCTCCTTCTCTATTTGTACTAAACTATAATTCTATCCCTAACTCTTTAAAGATCCTGCCCAGACAACAGAATAAGTGCACCCTGAAGGATAATACATAAAGGTATTCATCATGGTGTACTTTATGAGAATGAAAAGCTGAAAAATAACCAAGATGTCCAGTAATAGGGAACACTATAAACCACATCTGCACAGAAGGCTATATAACAACAATAAAAATAAGGTGAATGCGTATTTATTGATGTGGTATTATTTCAATGTACTGACAGCTATAGAATAAACAATAGTTCCAACTTGGTTGTTGGGGCACTATGTTTCTAATCTAGGCATACAAAGAAGATGACAAGATACAAAACCACAATGTAATGGTTAGCTCTCAGGAATGATAATATTGATGTGTTTAAAGAAAGAAGCCAGTGTTCCAGCCCGTTCACCCGATCCAGCCCATCCAGATGGCAGCGTTCACCTCTGTGCAGAGAAAGTGATGTTTTGCTTTTGGAAAACTGTTGCCCAAGACCCAGCACAGTATTTACTGACCACATTTTTCCAGCTGTTTCCAATTAGCAATGTAAACTTTAATAATTTAATAAAAGATATCAGTCTCTAATATTCAATTCAAACATCCTCTGCTCCTGAAATCTTTCCTGGTCCAGCTCACTTCTCTTGCCCTCCAGGTAATCTGTCCCTCTCTCTTTCTTGTGCACTTTATACATCTTTCACAACATCTACTATATTCAGATTGAAGTTATATTTTCTTTTTTCAGACCTGACTACTGATTCCTAAATTATAATCAGCCTGTTTTATTTATGCTATAATCTAACCTCAAAACCCACAACTCCCAAGCATTTAACAAAGTGCTATTGTTGATCTCAATATAATGCAAAGCTGCAAAATGTACACATCTGAAGACCATACAATTAGCAGCTCTCTAATCAGAATTTCACTTATACTTGGGATGTTTAGAAACAAAATACAGTCCTTTCTAGGGAGATAGATGATATACAAAGGAGAATATTTTATCTGTGGTAAAATTTCTCCATTATTTACTACTGCTTTGCTCTCAGAGTTACTAAAGACACTCTCAATCAACTTAAGTCACGGGGCAATACTTCATAATCCAGGCTATCCTCTCAGATTTTAATCATAAACTTCTGCATGAAATGTACAAGAATTAATCTTGCAATAATCCAATAAATGCCTGACTCAGTGGGAACTATAAATATCTTTTGTTTTAAGAGGAAATAAGGCAAGTGAATATTTTAAGGTTATATAAGTCTGATTCAGGGAATAGACACAAATGAATGTTTTGAAATATTCAAAGCATTTTTTAAGGTTTAATAAAGAAAGTGTCTTGAGAAGTAGGTGTGTGAGATTTAAAATAAAAATAACCATCACAATCTTAGCTATTTCTTAGCAATTTTAGGCTTCCATTATTCTCTTTGAAAGGGCAAGTCAGACTAAAGGAGAAGTGGCTTCTACTTTTTTTAGTTAGTTTTTGTGGTGCTGGGATTGAACCCACATCTCAGGCAAACTAGTCAAGCAAGCCACCACTGAGCTACATCACCAGCTCTCTTTTATTTTTTCTTGCTAAACTGTCCAGGCTGGCCTCAAAATTTTGGTCCTCCAGCCTCAGCTTCCCAAAAACCTAACGTTACAGGTGTCTTTGTGCATTATAGTACCTAGCTAAGAAACTGCTTCTTGAAGAAACAATGAAATACCTGATCCAATTTCTGTTCTTTCCTCTATTTTACTTCCAAGGTTTTAATCAAGCCAAGATGAACTTTAAGCTGCCCAGGACTTCTTTTGTTTCTCTCTGGAGACAATTCACTTTTTCTTAAAAGTAAATTTCTGAATCAAAAGCAAAACAGAACACAGTAGTTTGGTTAGGAGGAAGCCTGGCTGCTCAAGCCTGCAACTTCATCAACTGAAGGAACATGGAAGCTCAAAAGGTAATTAACTGTCTGACCCACCTCCAAATATTATCTCTCACCAGCCAGAAGGGCAAGGGATTCTAGCTGATTACACAGGTGACTCAACAACTCAACAGTGCTACATACATTCTTTGACAAAGACATTTAAATTCTAAATTGGTCTCAGCATTTATCTTCAATTCCAGAAGCCAAATGAGTATGATAACCTGGGATACACCAAGCACTGATTCAAAACAAAACCTTACTGTTATCAACCAAAGCAAATTCTCACTGCCAGAGCTGAGACAGATAATTGAAGATATGTGGCTTTAAAATGCTTGCACAACAGGAAACCTACAACCAGTCATATGTAGAGCCAGCTTGCATCAGTTTCTAGAGTCAAATGTTAATTTCTCAGGACTACTGGTAATTTAGTTGTTAAAACAACACAGCCATTACTGAAAGTAAATTATATAACTTAAAATTTTATAAAATGATAATACAAACAAAGGCAATAAATACTCAAAAAGTTCACTATTTCCTATTTTAGTACTACACATTTTCTCTGATGCTATTTGCAACTACTATATCTGGTTCTCAGAAAACATATAACAATGCACTACTGCACTCATTTTCCAACAATGCTCTTGATGACTCTCACTGGTAGTTTGAAATCAACCATGGTGGGAGTATTTACACAGAAATCCCTGAGCACATTGATCTACAAACACAACCTACCATAACCAGCATTGTTTCATGGCAGTAATGGAACACAAGCTGGCCCATCTTTTCAGTCAGAATAAAGGTTTATAAATCACAAACGATATAAATATAAAGATTGCATTTATTGTGTATAAAGATTGCATTTATTGTGTAATGACTAGATTTTTTGTACAGATACCACAAAGTACTATCAATACTCTTTAATCTCACGAGAGGTATTACCAAATCCAAAGTACAAATGAGTCAACTGATGTTTTGAGAGGTTGAGTAATCACTAAAAGGCACAAGAGCAAATGAGACCAAATAATTTCTCAAGAAACATTTGATCTTTCCACTAAGGCTACCACATGTACTAGCATTATCATTATCATAACGAAAACAAAGATGAGCATGTGTTAACTGTCGGATAATTAACAAACATTGATGGGGACTGGGAGAAGGTATAGACAAAGAACTCGACTTTAATTATACCCACCAAGTTTGTATTTACTTCTGAAATGCACTTACAAAAGCTACCTGAGTGAGAAATGGAACCCAAGGAACCACTGGGCACAAGAATGTCCATATTTCAGATGGGCCATTACAAGTTTCATTTAAATATTGATCTACTGCAAGGAAGCACCTTTTACATCTTCAAAGATGTTTGATTTATGAAACAAATGAAAGGTGCATTAAAAAATGGCATACTCTACCAAAAAAGAATTAATGCAGGGCTGAGTATTTAGCTCAGTGGTTCCAGCGCCTGCCTCGCAAGTGCAAGGTCCTGAGTTTGATCCCCGGTACCAAAAAAAAAAGAATTAATGCAAAAGAAAATCTCCCCAGTTTTGACATTAATTTTCCAAAGTGTTTGTGTATCTACTCTTTAACACACATTTTCTTTTATAATATACGTTATTTAATTGTGCTATCTTTTTGAGCTTTTCAAGTTAGTTCATCCAGTAGGTAAATGAATTCCAAAGAGCTATCAAAAATTTACTTACAGATTACACAAAAAAATTCTTCTCATCTTGGCTTTCTATAAGCTACCAGCTTCTGCCATTCTACAAGTACATTCCCATTACCTGTCATGAAAGAAAAGAATCTCATTAGTTATAGGTCTTCATTTCTACAACATTAGTCCTTTGTTTTTTCTTTCGGTCTTTTTTTCTCTTTTTTGATTTTCTAAAATTAATTTTATTGGTACATTTTAGGTACACAATATAATGTCATTCATCATTGGAAATCTGCACCTGTATATAAGCTCTCCTGGTTCTTATTTTTTCCCCATTCCCCCGCCCTCCCTCCAACCCCTCCATCCCACCCCATTTACAGAGACTTCATTTTCATTTTCTCATATTAATTCCATTCCCTTCTTCCCTTTCCCCTACCTCTGCCACTTCCCCTTCCCCTTTGCCCCTTTTCTTCCTATTTCACATTATCTATTATACCATTTAGTCCTTATTTACACTTTCAATTTCTCACACTAGAGAAACTATTTGGTATTTACACGTGTCCTATTTATTTCACGAAAGAGTATCGCCTC